TTTATTCAATTGTGGTCAGTGAAGATGCATGAATGATCTCGATATTTTTTAATTTGCTGATACTTGCTTTGTGGCCTAGCATATGATCTGTCCTAGAGAAAGTTCCATGCACTGATGTGAGGAATGTGTATTCCACTACTGTGGGCTGACAGGTTCTACAGATATCTATTAGTTCCATTTGGTCTATAGTGTTGATTAACTCTGTTGTTTTCTTACTGGTTTTCTGTCTGGTTGATCTGTCCATTGCTGAGAGTGGGGATTTGAAGTCCCCTGTTATGATTGTATTGTAGTCTGTGTCTCCATTTAGGTCAATTAACATTTCTTTTATAAAGCAGGCACCCTGTAATTGAGTGCATATACATTTATTATAGTAACATTTTCCTGTTAATCCCTTAATCATTATGTAGTGCCCCTTTGTCTATTTTAACTGTTTTTATGGTAATGTCTCTTTTGTTTGATGTTAGGGTGGCAACACCAGCTCTTTTTTGGTTTCTGTTAGCATGGAATATCTTTTTCCATCCTTTCACTTTCAGTCCGCATGTATCTTTGCTGGTGAGATGTGTTGTAAGCAGTAAATAGCTGGGTTTTGTTTTGGAATCCATTCAGCCAGTCTGTATCTTTTTTAAAAAGATTTTTTTGAGACTTAAAAGTATTTGTTAGAATCAAGGACCTCCCACCAGAGTGGCATGGAGGGGGCTTCCAAGAGAGGAAAATCCAAAGGGGACTGGTGGCAGCTTTAAGTACAATTTCAAAGGAAAAAAAAACTCAATAATCAGATTGGCATTTGGTTACCAGGCAGGGACAAAAACCATCAAAAGATCCCATTTGCAGTTATCTGTCCTCTCTGGCCTGCTAAAGCTGCCATACTTAACTTGCTTTCACAGTAATCTGTGAGCTCTGGAGAAGCTCATGTCGCTCCCCGTCTTCGTGGAGGAACGACACAGGACCCTGCGCTGTTCTTTCGTCTGCTCGGCCCTCCCCGGGTTTGCTGCTGGTTCTTCCCGGGTTGGCTACCGGCCCTTCCACCTCCGTGGAAGGGCAGTTCCCCCTGCCACATTCCCCACTTCCGCGGGGGAGCAGCACACCGCTGGCCGGCTCTCTCGGGGGCTGCACAGGTGTTCCTTCAGATAGATGTTCCCCTTAGATGTTCCTCGTGCATGCCGTCTCTCTCCTCCTTTATAGTCCTCTTCCACCAATCCCAACTCTGCTACCCACATGCCGAGTACGCTGCTCTCCTCCAATCAGGAGCAGGTCCCACAGTTTATTGGTTGAACTGGAGGCAGCTGTGTAGAAGCTGTTTCCCTTCTCAGCGCCATATTGTGGGAAAGCAGATGCATAGAATAAGTCTTAATTCCAGTAACTTAGTCTAGTCCGAGTTGCTCCCCACAGCTCTCTTGTTATTCTCATGGTAAATTTGGAGATTTCAAAGGAAGGAGGGTGGCCTGTTTGTTCTTGCTAAAGATAATGTTTTGGGGAAGGAAGCAAATATTTTACACCCCAAGTTCCATTGCTGACTCCTCACATTCCCTCCTCTTGGAGATGGAAGCTCTAACATCTGTTAGTGGCAACTGGGTGATGATCACTCTGGCTGCTACATGCTGATAAGGGGCATCTTTGGGAAGGGGAGTCAAGACAGGGTTGCAGCAGGAGGTGGCTTCTCAGCAGCAGCTGGCTTCTCCAGGGTTGTGCAATGCCAGCTTGCAGAAACAGCTTCCATTAGAGGTTTCTTGTGCTTGGCCACCTAGACTTATACTTTTTTAAGTCCATAGAAAATGAATCTATCAAACAGTTTAAACTCACAGGATCTAAAATTATAGGATCCAAAAAGCAAGAATAGAGTCATTATTAGAGGCCCTTAGAAAAGCGTCAAAACCATGAGCAAGGCCAGCACTATGGCTCAATATGCTAATCCTCTGCCTGTGGTGCTGGTACACTGGGTTCTAGTCCTGGTGGAGCACCAGATTCTGTCCCAGTTGCTCCTCTTCCAGTCCAGCTCTCTGCTATGGCTGGGGAGTTCACTGGAGGATGGCCCAAGTCCTTGGGCCCTGCACCCACATGGGAGACCAGGAGAAGCACCTGGCTCCTGGCTTTGGATCGGCACGGCACGCTGGCCGTGGCACACCAGCTGTAGTGGCCATTGGGGGTGTGAACCAATAGAAAAAGAAGACATTTATCTCTCTCTCTCTCTCTCTCTCTCACTGTCTACTCTGCCTGTCAAAAAAACAAACAATCAAACAAAAATGAGCAAGTTTTTTCATTGAGAAGGAAATACAAACTTATGGAAAGGGCTTGAAAATAATCAGGCAGGCTTAAGGCCTTGTCTGTTATTAGGCTCAGACCTATCTACATCTCTTCATATGTGGTACATCATAAGGGAGGCACCCTGTTGACTTCCATTTCCTAGCTGGCCTGGAAGGAAAACTGGCTCAAAGAGAAGGCAGGTAGCATTTCCAAAAGGAGAACATTTATTCATTAATATGCAGTTCTGCCTGCAATGATGTTGACCCTACTTGGCCATCCCCTTGACAGCAGTGGTTACTTTGGAAGCTGTGGTGCGTGAAGGGCTTGGATTTTTGGCTTAGAGTGAACAAGGCCTGTGGCTCTGACCTGGATGCCTTTAACTCCAGGGTGGGGCTGTTTCTAGTGACCCAACTCTTGGCTGGCAGAGCTGCCAGGGCTCTACATAAGCTGACTTTTCCTGAAGCCCTGGCTTTCCACATTGAAAACCAAAGCAGTGGGCTGGCCTGTTGGGTGTCCTTGATGGCAGATGACTTTGTAAAGCAGCCAATAATTGGCCAAAGAAACCTTTAAGAGAATGCAAGTCAAGGGGGTGCTCTGACCCTAATCTTTAGTGGCCTAAACTAGAAATGATTAGTCACAGGCATATTCTGATAATTGTTTTCTTTGAGGTAGACAATGTCCATGAGGAAAGCTATGTCAAAAATGATGCATACCTTATTTTTAAAATTTTAAGTCATTAGTAAAACTCTCTCCCTTTGTTTGGTTAAAAAAGTGAGGCTTTGCCTGTTTTCTGTGCCCATGGCAAAGTATATCTAGCTGTGGGATCATATTTTAAGCTCTCATTTTGGCTATGCTATTACACAAAGTGTTAGCCATACCTTTTATAAGGTCAAAAGATCAAAATGTACATTCTAGAAAGGTCTTCAGAATAGAATTAGCTTCCTATTTTGAAGTGAATAGAGCAATGAGGGAACAAGTTAGGCTTCCAAGATTGCCTACTGACAATAACAGTATAAAGGCCAGCACCACAGCTCAATAGACTAATCCTCTGCTTGTGGCACCAGCACCCTGGGTTCTAGTCCCAGTCGGGCACTGGATTCTGCCCCAGTTGCTCCTCTTCCTGTCCAACTCTCTGCTGTGGCCCGGGAGTGCAGTGGAGGATGGCCCAAGTCCTTGGGCCCTGCACCCACATGGGATACTAGGAGAAGCACCTGGCTCCTGCCTTCGGATCAGTGCAGTGCACTGGCCACAGCACACTGGCAGCAGGGGCCATTGTGGGGTGAACCAATGGAAAAAGGAAGACCTTTCTTTCTGTCTCTCTCTCTCACTGTCCGCTCTGCCTGTCCAAAAAAAAAAAAAATAAAGAAAAAAGAAAAGAAAAGAAAAGAGAAAAATCGGTATCAAATGAAAACTAGCAAGCAATTTAAACTGTTAAGTAGCAACTTATCGAAACATTTACCTGAAGGTCCACTGCTTTCTATAAATTTCAAGTACAGAAATTTAGGTCACACAAACCAAAAAGATATCTCTCATTATCTTAGCAGTTTGAATTTATGAGTGATATTTTATCTATAAGCCAATTAAAACGGAACTCATAATAAATTTTCCCATGTAGACATACAATATGTGAACACGTGTAACATGACATACAAGATGAGACAATAGAGTAGCTTCAGTAACAGTTTTCTAAAATCTATAACTATTTTTTTAATTACCATCAAGCAATTAGAATTACTTTCTGCCCTTAGTAATCTGAATTAACCATACTTTAAGTTGGAAGCTGTAGAACATTATTGGTTTTATCTGCTTACAGAACTGTCCCAGAGTATTGAACACAATAGAGATCAGGGAAAAAGAGGTCCTTTGGCATCTGAAATGACACATTTAAACAGAACCAACAATGTTTTAACTTCACGAGCAGTTAAAAATTACACTTATTTATTTGAGAGGTAGAGTTACAGATAGAGAGACAACGAGAAAGGTTTTACGTCTGCTGCTTCACTCCCCAAATGGCTGCAGTGGTCAGAGCTGAGCCAATCTGAAGCCAGGAGCCAGAAACTTCCAGTTATCCTGCATGAGTGCAGACACACAAGCACTGGGGCCATTTTCCATTACTTTTCCAAGCCATAGAGCTTGATTGGAAGAGGTGCAGCTGGGAGTAGAACTGGTGCCCTTATGGGATGTCTGCACCACAGGCAGAGGCCTAGCCCTATATGCCAGAGTTCCAGCCCCGTGTCTGTATCTCTTAACTGGAGTGTGACTATTGATAAGTTATGACTTGACCCTGCCACTTTTTCATAAATATTTCTATTATTTACTATGTGTTAGGAACCATTCATGGAGAAAGTAATTGTAGCACTGTTTGAAACAAAGTAACTGTAGCGCCCTTTGAAAGAAAGTAACTGTGCAGTAGCACAGCTTGAAAGAAAACGAGAGAGGTAACCACCTTAGCTGGTAAGATTTGAAAACGGATGGCCTAACTAGATGGCCTAACCACAAACTGTTGTTGCCATGACTATGGGACCCTGGGAGGTCAGAATGTGGGCGGGGCTAGCCTCTAGAAACTGTATATAAGGGGGACCCTCAGATGCTGTAAACCAGAGGTTGCTCAGCTTCTCTCCACAGTCTGTAGTGCCTAGTGTCCATGGGGAGAAGCTCCTGGTCTGTAGTGCCTAGTGCCCACAGCAGTAGGCTTGAGCAATCTTTCCTCCTAGTCACCTAGAGTATCAATAAAGTGTGTTTAGCTTAACCTTCCTCAGTCTCCTCGACTCTTCCTTTGCGGTAACCCAGCCAGTTCCTGAAGGGGGAGATCCTGACAGCTGGCACCAGAACAGGGACCTGAAGTCAGACTGTGAGGAGAAGAGCCCTTGAGGAATTGTTGAAAGGGTGAGTAGCAGTGGTTGAAAGAGACCACGATGGGTGGGATGTCCCAGTCAAAAGAATATAGGCAGGCACTAGTGAGTATAGAGAAGGTGAAGGTCCTTCCAGGCCAGGCACCAAGAGGCAAGAAAGTGAAGTGCTACTCACCAGGAAATGTAACATGGGCTTGTAAGCTGGTAGCAGCTTGTACAGGATGGGACCTCCAAGATCTGTGGACCTTGGAAGAGGTAGAAAACCTCCTGGAGGAATTTCTACAAATAGGAGAAGGTGCCACAATAGGGAAAGACTATAAATGTGCAGTAGACTCCCTTAAGGTGTTAATTTGTTGTGGCAAGGGATTAAATCCAAAAAATACATGAGATGCCTGTAAGCTCTATGACGCTATAGCAGAATTTAGGCAAAACTTCAGGTTGTTCCCAGAGAGTTAAGTAAGGAAGAAAAAGCAAAAGAACAGTCAGCGTATCCGATAAGGTTAAGAGGTGGTAGACAAGAATATGAGCCTGTGGGACCTGTACTAATAGCCGCTTGGCTTAAACAAGTTTAGGAACATGGTCTTATGCACCCAGCTACCATCACTTATTTTGCAGTAATTTCAGTAAACTTTACATCGGTAGACATCAATATGCTACTGAATGTAACTCCTGGCTTTGCAGCAGAGAAACAGCTAGTCATAGATAAGATAAAAGAGAAGGTGATAGCATGGGATGAGATGCATCCCCCTCCCCCAGCTAACGTGGCTGGACCAGTGCCATTAACATCAGATCAGATTAGGGGAATTGGATTATCACCAGAAGAAATAAAGGACACCCAGAGCATTCAAAATGCTAATGAAGAATGTAAAAAGTTGCTTAGAAATTTAAGACCAGGAGATTCATTAGATGAAAAAATGTATGCCTGTGGAGAATTTGGATCCACCTCCTATAAGATGGCCATGCTGGCAGAGGCCTTAAAGGCTGGAGATAGACATCAAGGGTCAAGAAGTTTTCAGGGAAATTGTTACAGGTGAGGAAAAAAGGGGCATATGGCAAGAAATTGTAGGAGTGGAGAAAAAACTCCGCTAAAATGCTGTAATTGTGGGAGAACCGGACATATGGCAAAAGTATGTAGACAGCCGAAAAATGGGAAAGCAGGTGGCAATGCCCCCCAGACCATGATGGTGTCTGCCCAGAATATCCAGTCATCTGGGCCGGCGCCGTGGCTCACTAGACTAATCCTCCACCTTGTGGCGCCGGCACACCAGGTTCTAGTCCCGGTTGGAGCGCCAGATTCTGTCCCGGTTGCCCCTCTTCCAGGCCAGCTCTCTGCTGTGGCCAGGGAGTGCAGGTGAGGATGGCCCAGGTGCTTGGGCCCTGCACCCCATGGGAGACCAGGAAAAGCACCTGGCTCCTGGCTCCTGCAATCGGATCAGTGCGGTGTGCTGGCCGCAGCACGCCAGCCGTGGCGGCCATTGGAGGGTGAACCAATGGCAAAGGAAGACCTTTCTCTCTGTCTCTCTCTCTCACTGTCCACTCTGCCTGTCAAAAAATAAAAAATAAATAAAAAATAAAAAAAATTAAATAAATAAATAAATAAATAAATAAATAAAAAGAATATCCAGTCATCTATCCCGCCGTCTGCCCCATCCCTGGGGGAAACAGAGACGGAAGCCCCTGTGACTGGGATCTACCCGAAACTACCAAAATAAAATTAGAACAAAGACCTACCTTAAAGTTAACCTAGGGGGGAAAGATATAGTAGGGCTGTTATACACAGGGGCTGATTTAACTATAAATAAGGGAACAAGAGGTTAAAGGAATAAAAGAAGGTATAACAGAAGGATGGCAAAATATAGAGAGGGTAGGAGGGTGCTCTAAATTACAAAAAATATCATAGGTTATGCTGAAAGACAAAAAAGGAAGGAAGACAAAGACATCCATTCTAATATCTCCAGATATTCCCATCAATATATTCGGAAGGGATATCTTAACAAAGTTAGGGGTAGCCCTAATTATGGCACAACTCTCTACCCAAATTACCCCAATAAAGATAAAAATGAAAGATCCTAATAAAGGTCCCTTGATTCCCCAATGGCCATTAACAAAAAGACTACTAGAGGAAGGGAAGATATCTCCAGCAGACCCAGATAATCCCTGGAACACCCCAATATTTGTGATAAGGAAAACATCAGGTAAATTGCGAATGTTAATAGACTTTAGAGATCTTAATAAATTAGTAGATAAGGGAAGAGAAGTTCAATTAGGTATTCCACACCCTGGAGGATTACAAAGAAGAAACCAGGTTACTGTTTTGGATATGAGGGATGCTTATTTTACCATCCCTCTGGATAAGGACTTCAGGCAGTACACTGCCTTTACCATCCCAGAGGTTAATAATCAAGGTCCAGGCCATAGGTATGTGTGGAATTGTCTCCCACAAGTTTTGTATTAAGTCCCTTGATTTACCAAAGTACACTAAGGGACATACTAGAGCCCTGGAGACAACAACACCCAGAAGTAGATCTTTATCAATATATGATGATGTATATATTGGGTCCAATCATTCTCCAAACACCACAAACTGATTGTAGAAAAACTCAGAAAAAAATGCTTTTAGAAAAGGGATTTGAGACACCAAATGAGAAGTTACAAGAACAATATCCTTATTCATGGATGGGGTACTCGTTACACCCGAATAAATGGACATTGCAAAAGCTAGAGTTGCCAGAACTTCCAGAGAAGCCCAACCTAAACAAACTACAAAGTTAGTAGGACTCCTTAATTGGATGACCCAAGCTGTTCCCGGAATTAAGACAGAACTTTTACTCTTATGATGAAGGGAAACCAAAAGTTAAATAGTATCAGGGAATGGACCCCCAAAGCAAGACAGGAGTTACGGACTATAAGGAGGCTATTACAAGAACACAAACCTTTAAGCTACTGGGACCCCAGCAAGGAAGTTTACTATACCGTTATGATGGGAGGTAATACCATAAATTATAAAGTGCAACAAGGATCTGATATCCTTTGGGTAGGTAGACAGGAATTTCCAAAGGTATTACCAGCATCTCCTCTAACTAGAGCCCTAAAATGCCTACATAAAATCAGACAAGAATGCATTATATGAATAGGGCAAGAACCTATATATAGGTTACCTATCAAAAAAGAGGATTTAGATGTTATGATTCAGGAAGACCCCTACTTGCATTGGGTACTGCAGATTGAATGTATCCATGTGCCTTTAATGCTTAGAAGGGCACTAAGCAGTCTTCAAGGTCATCTTGTGCCAGGACCTACTTACTATGTTGATGGAGGAAGCAAACAGGGGCAAGGAAAATATGGCTTTTGGAGATCAGATGGAGTTAAACTAGTTAAGGAGAATGAGGGAAGTAATCAAGAATAAAAAAAAAAAAAGAGCCATGCTACTAGCCCTTCAAGAAGGACCCCCGATAATGAATATAGTTACGGATTCTCAATATGTATATACATTTTTTTTTAACTTTTTTTTTTTATCTTTTATTTAATGAATATAAATTTCCAAAGTACGACTCATGGGTTACAATGGCTTTCCCCCCCATACCGTCCCTCCCACCCACAACCCTCCCCTTTCCCACTCCCTCTCCCCTTCCATTCACATCAAGATTCATTTTCGATTATCTTAATATACAGAAGATCAGCTTAGTATACCTTAAGTAAGGATTTCAACAGTTTGTTCCCACACAGAAACATAAAGTGAAAAATAATAGATGATTTTTTTTTAAATCATGATGAAATCAGATCAGACCTATTGTCATGTTTAATCTCAGTGAGAGTCAAGTTGGGAATTGATAATTTCTTTTTTTTTTTTTTTTTTTTTTTTTTTTACAGAAGATCAGTTTAGTGTACATTAAGTAAAGATTTCAATCGTTTGCACCCCCATAGAAACACAAAGTGAAATAAACTGTTTGAGTACTCGTTATAGCATTAAGCCCCAGTGCACAGCACACTAAGGACAGAGATCCTACATGAGGAGTAAGTGCACAGTGACTCCTGTTGTTGACTTTACAAACTGACACTCCTGTTTATGGCATCAATAATCTCCCTATGCACCAGTCATGAGTTTCCAAGGCTATGGAAGCCCTCTGAGTTCTCCGACTCTTATCTTGTTTAGACAAGGTCATAGTCAAAGTGGAGGTTCTCTCCTCCCTTCAGAGAAAGGCACCTCCCTCTTTGAAGACCTGTTCTTTCCACTGGGATCTCACTCACAGAGATCTTTTTGCCAGAGTGCCTTGGCTTTCCATGCCTGAAATACTCTCATGGGCTTTTCAGCCAGATCCGAGTGCCTTTAGGGCTGATTCTGAGGCCAGAGTGCTATTTAGGACATCCGCCATTCTATGAGTCTGCTGAGTATCTCACTTCCCATGTTGGATCACTCTCCCCTTTATTTATTCTATCGGTTAGTGTTAGCAGATACTAGACTTGTTTATGTGCTCCCTTTGACTCTTAGTCCTTTCATTATGATCAATTGTGAACTGAAATTGATCACTTGGAATAGTGAGATGGCATTGGCACATGCCACCTTGATGGGATTGAATTGGAATCCCCTGGTATGTTTCCAACTCTACCAATTGGGGCAAGTCAGCCCGAGCATGCCCCAAATTATACATCTCTTCCCTCTCTTATTCCCACTTTTATGTTTAACAGGGATCACATTTCAGTTAATTTTCAACACTTAAGAATAACTGTGTGATAATTACAGAATTAAACCAGTCATATTAAGTAGAACAGACAAAAAAAAAAATACTATGAGGGATAATATATTAAGTTGTCCATTAGCAGTCAGGGCTATGCTGATCAAGTCACCATTTCCCATAGTGTCCATTTCACTTCAGGAGGTTTCCTTTTTGGTGTTCAGTCAGTTGTCACCGATCAGGGAGAACATATGGTATTTGTCCCTTTGGGACTGGCTTACTTCACTCAGCATGATGTGTTCCAGATTCCTCCATTTTGTTGCAAATGACTGGATTTCATTGTTTC